ATGCTGGGAAGGATTGGGGCAGGAGGAGAAGGGAACAACAGAGGATGAGATGATTGAATGGCATCACCGACTCGACGAACATAGGTTTGAGTAAACTCCGGGAGTTGGTGATGGACAGGGAGGCCTGGCGTGCTGCAGTCCATGGGGTCTCCAAGAGTCGGACATGACTGAGCAACTAAACTGAGCTGAACTGATAACAAAACAGACTCACAGAGAAGAAACCAGTGGTTAGCAGTGGGGAGAATGGCAAATAGGTGAAGGGAATTAAGAGGTACAGACTACCTGATATAAGATTATAATGTATAGCACAAGGAATATCATCAATACTTTATAATAACTTATATGGGGTATAATCTATAAAAACATTGACTCACTGTGTTGTACACCTGAAACTAATATAAGATAGTAAGTCAACTTACTTCCATTAAAAACAAAACTAAGTAAGACAACACAGGGTTGGTATATAAGGAAAACAGTGAAAGACAGTGGGTAATGGACTCTGAAGATGAATGACACAGAGCTGGGATATCATAAGGGGTGAAGGGAAAATGCTCTGAAAGAGGCAGTGAGAACCTTGAGGGTATTTCCCCACTTCTAAAACACAGGCACTCTTTCAGTGTTGCAACCTTCAGAATTTCAAGGAGAGATGTCAGAGAAGAGCCAGGTTTTGTTAGGGGAAGGAAAGGTTCAAAGAAGAAATTGTTTCTGTAATTGAAATTGCTTTTAAAACTGTGTTTTCCCTGCTAAATTTTGACTTTCTCATGATCACATCCCCCCATACTCAGCTTGGTGCCAAATATCAGAGTGGGCAGAATTATCAGGAAGTCACCAAGTTTCCTGTGTTGAGCAGGAAGATGATAAGGAGGTAGTTGGAAGTGATGTGGAGACATATATTTAGGAGGGGGTGAAATTCAGAGAACATGGCTCCTTGGGAAGTAGGTGGGGATTTAATTCTCAAAACAAGAGTAGGGTTGAGTTTTACATAAATGTGGGTGTGTCTCTTTCCTTCCAAACAGAAATAAAAGGAGAAAAGTTTGCTGAAACTTTCTTGTTTACTTGGTTGAAGATAGGGAATGAAGGATTTCTTCAATAGAAAGACAGCTTTCTTTCAAAAGATAAAAATAATCTTACTTCAGAAGACTACTTTTCCCTCTGAATTATACAATGTGGTCATCTGCAGAGGATAAATGTCATAAATGTGGATTTTAATTTATAATATTAGGATACAGATCATATATGGTTTTATTTTGATGAATCAAATTTATAAAATTTAATGTTTAATCAGATCTACTCACCTGATTAATGGAAAATTTAATCTCATTTTCTCTAGGATCCTCATCTCCCTCCCAAGATGGATTGAAGTATAAATTAATCCTTATTTGTGGTGCCAAAAAGTTACTGGAGTGTACAGTTTCTGATGCCAACCACTTTTACCTTTGCTCGGATATGGTGGTCATCACATTGTTTTCTCGGGCATGGTCATTTTAGACACACTGTGTCGTGCTCCTCACGGGAGTCTTCCCCATTAACAGCAGACACACCAGGCTCCCTCTCCCCCCAATCTGAGTGTCATGTACAGTATTTTCAGAGGTCCTAGCCTCTGAAACTTGAGTCCCACATTTATTTCAACATTGAGGAATACCCAGATGGAGAACTCAGATGGTCTCCCCAGTCTTGGTTCTATCAACTCTCACATTCAGAAACATTGCCTTTTAATCCCTTCTTCTGTGTTGTTGTTGTTCAATCATGTCTGATCTTTGCAACCCCATGACTGCAGCACACCAGGCTTCCCTGTCCATCACCAACTTCCAGAGCTTGCTCAAACTCATATCCATTGAGNTCCACTGAGTCGGTGATGCCATTCAACCATCTTGTCCTCTGTCACCCCCTTCTCCTCCTGCTCTCGGTCTTTCCTAGCATCAAGGTATTTCTCAGAGGTTTTTAGAATTCAGTTGCTGACTTCTTTGTCCATGCTACAGAGAAAGAGATGCTAAGACCCCTGAGGTTTTTTCCTCCCTTTAAAGTCTCAGGCTCTTACAGTGAAGAAGGTTGTAAGATCAGACAGAAGTTTTAAGGAAATGGAGAGCGTTTTAATAGCTGCTTCAAAGAATAAAACAAAATGGAGACTCAGGGCTTTCAGAAGGATGGCCAGCTTTCCATAAATACATAAATGAAGTCAGTGGTTGTGAAATATGGTGGCAGTCATCTGTTAGATTGATTTTTTTCTTCAGAAAGGGAGAGACAGCCACTTTCCATAAATTTTCCATCAATTTCCATAAATTAATGTTTATACTAATTTTTAAATGTTACTTAAAAATATCAGAGGAATTTGTTTCTTCCATTTACTGTTCCTTGAGTATTCCAAGGATTCAAAGCCTTAAGTTATTTAAATTTTCTGTTCTTACTGCCTCAAAGCATTTCCATGACGTGTGCTCACGATTTTCTTTTTATGTCAAGAAATCAAATGTAATGATTTTGGAGTATAGCTTCTCATCACTGGGTGAAAAGTTCATCCTCTCCCCTGCTTCCTGTCCCCCCTATACTACATCATGTAACATAATTCTGTTTTATTTTCTGCATAGTATTTAGCATTATTGAGAATTAGTTTTTCCATTTCTTTGTCCATTTGATTATCTTAAAGACAAATCCATATGCATAGGAACATTGTCTGCCTTATTCGTTGAATATCTTGAGTGCCTAGAATTGTGCTTGCCACAGAGAAGGGCTTAATAAATATTAATAAACATTAATTATTCTAATATTAAAAAGTAGTTATAAATGAGTAAAAGAAAGATAACTCAACAATATAAGGAGAAAAGATATAATGAGAGATCTATAAAAGTGAAATGGATCAAAAATTTTCATTAGTTTTAAACAAATATAAATTTAAACAATTTTTAAAATTTAAATGTCTAAGTGTTTCATGATTTCACAAATCTTATGTTTCATACTATAGACCTAGTTGTACCAAATACACTTTTGCACAAATACAGAATTTTTTATCCCTGTGGGCAAAAATGCTCAAACTAAAAAGAAGTAAATAACTTTTGAGATTAAAGGGTAAACAGTGCATAGTATATTCCCTGGTTATACTGACTGTGCTTCATCTGACTTTAATCATTAAGTGATTGCTGTCCTATAGGTGGCAAACTCTTTGATGGATTTTCATTTCTCGTTGTTCCAGGTACTGTGGCCATAGACTTGCAAGACACGAGCTGCAGATCTGCAAGTGGCCCTACCCTGTCTCTTCCTACAGAGGGAAGTAAAGAAGTCAGAAGACCCAGCATTGCTCCCGTTTTAGAGGTTGCAGACACGTCATCAATTCAAACATGTGAGCTTCTAAGTGACCAATCAGAAGATGAAACTACACCAGATGAAGAAATGT